CTCACCTGTGTGTGTGTGTATAAGGCAGGGGAGAGCAATCTTATGCACAAAGGGCCAGTGTGTGTGCTGGTTTTGAGATCACCTTCGTTCAAACCCAGGTGTGAGGACTCTTCAGCCAGTCAGTCCTCTAATTAGTCATCTATTTAGGGAGTTGCAGCAAAAACCTGCATATACAACAGGCCTTTCCGGATAAGATTACCTACCTCTGCTCTAAGGAGAGCAGGATGGGATATGTGAAAAGCAGCGTTCTAATGTACTTGTACGGATGGCAAATAAAACATCATTTCGTTTCAACCCTGCAGCAGTTTTCTGGGTCACTCTGTCATGGGGTTTGAACCGGTGTCCTTTCAGACAGTGAGCCACACATCTCTGTACGCTGTGGTGAGAATGACATCAGGAAGATGCACTGGAAAGCATGCAGAGGGTCTGTTCAACTGTCCAAATGTTTCATTGCCGAGACCAATGGAGTCTGATACTTTTATGCATCATTAGGTGGACAGACATCTGAAGGAGACTCTGTCTGTACAGTCATGTCTGACTGAGAATGCTGTGGCATTGCTGCTGCCCCCAGCTCACAAGGAACTTCAAAGAGTTCAGTTTTACAGGGGGTCCAGTCCAGCAGGGGGCGCATTGTTCAGGAAAGTGAATTACGCCCTAGAAGGAGATGCAAGGGACGACTTTTATGAGCTTCGATTTCCTTCACTTTTCCACAGGGTAACTGGTACATGTATCATACATCAGATCCAGAATCTCTGTTGAGAAAAAAAAAATCACACTCCAGCTAATGGAACATCTGTGTTTCAGCTAAAGCATGTGTTTTACCACACATTTCACTTTTATTCACCTCATCCTTGATTTAACCACTTGATAACATTCTTATAGAAAATGCTTTTTTCAGTCCTAGTTCAAGGAACTTATCCTAGATGCTGCTAAAACATGTCATTTTAATTTATCCCATATTTTATTCATTTGCTCATTCTGGTTAATCGGTTAATAAAGTTTTATTTGCCATAAACGGTATATAAAGACAAAATGCTTTGCAGAGGAGGCATTGTAGACCAGAAGACAATCCACTGAAAGGGCTACAAAATGGAAATGCTGATACTCACAAAACAAGATCCATGCTTTCTATCCCAAAAAATCACTGGGCACAGGATACTCTGAACGGTATGCCAGCCAATGACAGGGCACCCTGAACATTATGCCAGCCAATGACAGGACACCCTGAATGGTATGCCAGCCAATCACACGACACTAACTAACATGCTAAGAGCAACATAGGGATGCCAGTTCTCTTAACCGCAAGCTCACAGAGCTAAGGGTGGAACTCATTGCTAACCACTGAGCCATAGTACCAGCCCTATAAATTCAAGTGGAACAGAAAAACCACAATGCTTCCAAGAAAATGCATAACTCTTATCATATACAGTATATACTAAAACAATGGCAGTATTGTGGCACACATACTGTGTGACTATTATAGGCTAGTAGCTCTTTAGCCACTAAGCTAACGTTAAGGTTTTCATTCTGCAGTGTGGCCTGTAGCCACTATGCATTTTCCCCATATCAAAAGGAATAACTTTTTCTATGATCGCGATGACCTAAAATAATGGCTTATCTTTTGTACTCAATATGTTTCATCTCCCCAGAGGGCACTCTTTAAAGTTAATGGAAATTAACAAGCGCTTGAAGTTTATTTTTCATGAGGCTTAATGAACCATGTTTTTTTTTCCTAATAGATTTTCAGAAATTGTATTGGGTTACATTAATTAGCTTTTCGCTGGAAAGAAAAACGACCGCCTGTTCAGCTGCCATTCCTTGCCACAGTACTGCCAGCTGGGTAACTGTCAAAGAAGCATGTTGAAACACAAATGCTGGGCTTAACGACACAGTTAGCTCTTAATGTTGGGCAGCTGGGTCGGGACAGGGCGCCCCCTGCTGGTGGGGGGACTAATGGGACTTTTTAGCCTGACAACTTCACAGCTGGAAGCATAATAAGCAACCCCTCTACCACCTGCCCAAGCTCATAAAGTAGCCAGATGACAGAGAATGGAAGAGTCTGAAACATTTCCCCGAACATATGGTATCCCAGTGAACGAGGTGCATGCCTGTCAACCCATGCAAGGCTCGTCAGTGACACAAGGGCAGGCCATTGTGCTCGGCCCCGCTGACCTGTAACCATGACGACCGGTGGGAGACTCCTCCATCCCATGATCAAAGAGTATCAGAATGCTGGCTCAGCCTGGAGACCTCACAGAAAGTAATGTTCTCCTCTTTCTTCTCAGTGGAAAAGCCTTCTGTCACTCTTGTGCCGTATAGAGTTTCTCTCACACTTATGTGTCGTCACAGATGTAGTCCATCAGACATGATGTGTATGTATGGGGGGGGGGCAAAGCAGCACCAGTCTACCCAGCAACACCCTGTGAGCCAGCTGGCCCTTGTCTCTCTCTTGAAAGGGTAGTCATGTGAAGGAAATGGCTACAACTATTAATCAAAGTGAAAGCTCATTTTAAACTGAAATCAATATCCAATGCAGAAGCAAGCATCATCACAAACTGTAGGTACAGTTTAAACCCTTAAGAATTACCTGGAATGGAAGTTACTAATATCAAAGCACAATTTGCTTTAACTAGTAACACATTCCTCATTCACACATTAGTCAATCCTGAACAGGAAGTTTCTATTGTTGAAGCAATTCTGTTGTTGATTTACTCTTGTGTTTCAGATCATTGTCTTGTTGCATCATGAAACCTCTCTTAAGCTCCAGACACCTACCCTGGCATTCCCTTGTAATATTTCTTGAAACAATGTTCCATTCATTGTTCCCTCAATGATACAAGCTGTCCAGGCCCTGAGATGCTGCCTCCATTTTTCATCACAGTTAAGATGGGTTTTTGTCCTGGTGTGCAGCAGTCTTTGCTGAAAAGTTCAACTCTTGTTTCACACCTCCACAAAACAATGTCTTCATAGTGTTGTGGAACATCCAGGTGGTCTTTTTCAGGCTCACTCAAATTTCAAATCATGCAGCAGTATCTTTTTGGAGAACATCTGTCCTTCCATCCACACCGCTGGTGGTCTGTGTTTTTTTTTTTTTTTGAAGGTGACAAATAGACAGAGACTACAAGGCAAACACTGGAGATTTCTGCAGGTCCTTTGCTTTTCAACTATGCTGACCAGATAATCCATGTCAGTTAGGACACTTTGAGCTACTTCGGGTTCTACTAATGACTGAAAGGCTCCTGTGCTCGGCTAAATAGTTCAGCTCTTCTTATGCTTTGACTGGTGTGTCTCCATCATTAAAAGACTCATCCGGCTGTTTCACATTAACATTAGTGACACATGCATAATTGTACGAGACTGACCAATCAGCACACAGAAAGAACTCTGTGCTTAAGAGAAATCCAGGTCCTTTTAATTGAAATGGAAGTTTACAATTCCTGTCCTAGCTCAAAGTCTCCTCCCTCACATGGATTATCTGGTCACCCTACATTTTTATGTGATTCAGCTCTTTGGTACTGGAGCAATAGCACGTTTCTTCCATTGGTAAATGATCTGCCTGAGGATGGACTGAAGGGGACCCAAGTCTTTAGAAATGCCATTAAAACCCTTTCCAGTCCTTTGAACTTCAACAGCTTGCCTTCAAAGGTCCTCTGAAATTTCCTTTGATTGGGCCATATAGCACTGGAATAGAATTCACCTGAATCCAATTACCCTCTTTTCAAGAGGTCATTATCTAAGAAATTTGCATATTTTTTCATTTATGACCTTGATTGTTTAGACCATATTTTGTTCGATAGCGATAGAAATGTGAAGTGGTGTGTTGTTGTTTGTTAAAGAGACCATCTTCAATTTTTATTTTGACTAAGATCAGATCACATTTTTGGAAGCGTTCATGCTGGAATCCAGATGATTCTGAAAGGTTCACAAGCTTTTTCTTGCAACCCTAATGAGCCAAATCGGTTTCCCCACGGTTGAGCCAGAGATGACTTTATCTTGCTCTGCAACTGAGCCAGCAGTGCCCGCTGATGCTCGTGCAACACGTGTATGCCGCCTGCACAATACGCTGCTCTGTCCCTCTCCACTCCACTCGGACAATCCGACCCTTGTTTCCCTGCTTCAGCGACTCCATTTCCGCCAGAGCGGAATACAGCGTCCATTTAATGTAAACATCAAGGCCGGTGTATGTGTGTGTGTTTTTTTGACCTGACAGGGGTTCTAGAATGTAATTCATGCCTGACGTTACACTGAGGGGGTTAAAGGACTTGTGTTTTGGGCTGGTTCACCGCTGCAGGACTGGCTAACATGCTCAGAGGAGAAAATTAGTGGTGTTTTGCGCTGCAAATTCAAACAACATGTCGTAACGTTGCACAAAGCCTTTCTTCTCCCAGGCCATTTTGTTTCTTGCCTCTTTTTTTTCTCTCAGACAAAATTTTTCCTCTTAGGAAAATCCTGGCTTTTAATGAGCGGAGCAGTTTCCAGGAGCTGGAGGGAGAGCTAAACATGGGGGTAGAAGTGCTGGGAGATTCTGAGGGACGCAACCACTGACCTGGGGTCCCTCTTGGGCTCGCCCTTGAGGTCCCTCTCAGCCCCCTGGGCCTGCAGTGAGCTTAGCACACATGGTGACCCCTATGTGCCGAGATCCTCAGCTCCAGGGCACCTTTCTCACGCTATTTAAGAGACCGAAGACCGATTGGTTTAGCCTGCAGTATGTAATGCAATCACTGCTGCTGCAGTGGCTGTGTTCTGCCTTAATGTCGTTCACATAGCTCAGCTGTCATCGTGTTAATTCCCTGGAATTTCCACTTCACTGCATCCCAGTGCCGCACTGTTAAATGTGTTCAATATTTATGCCATTGTTGTATCAGTATTGTTGTATCAAATTCCAGTGCATGAAAGACGCACATTTTTGGTTGATCATTTGGTCATTTTCCTGTCATTGGTTATTGTATTCAATGGCTAAAATATGTACAAGATGTTTAAGGAGACTGTCCAGGACTGAATAGCTGTACATGGTTTATTGCAACAATCTGGATTATATAGGGGCTCTTTGCATTACATTACAAAAATACTTTAACCCAATGATTTATGTACAACAGGCACATTGGTTGCTCTGTGGTGGCAACAGTTATACAGTCTGTGTAGCTTGGAGTTACGGTAAAAGTAACAGTAAGCTGAAGTGCCCCCTTGTATGAAAATACTAACAGTCACACTGACTCACATTAGACACCAGAATGCAAGGTAGATGACTGTGACTGAACCAGTGAAGTAACTTTTCCACATCAGAAGGTCTTCATTCACTCATGTCTCAATAAGGTCTGCATGGTGTAGATGGTTTTTCTCATCCATTCTGCACATTTTTAAAACACTAGTGATGCAGCTATACCTTTGTGTTTCTTTTTTCCATGAATCTAATTAAGTCAGAGAGGGTTTGCTATTAAAATGAGTAAAGATCATGTCTGTGAGTATAACTGCATCATTATTATGATTGATGATGATGCTGTACAATTACATCACTAAAGAACTGGCCTCGATAGATTGCCATAACATGCACGCAACCAAATCTGGATTTGGGTTTCGTTATATATATATCGTAATTTATAATCCAGAGCTTTGTTTCCTTTTCTCACTACACCACAAAAAAAAAAAAACATACATGAGCCAATGTGAAGATTCGCTCATTCACACACTCGCAGCAGACCGATGCGCTGAGGACAATGCGAGATTACATACCTTCTCTTGGGCCTTTGAGATGGCTGCATGGACTCTCTAGCTAGACCCCATCCCCAAAGCACCCCCTATCCACAGGGAACACATCTTACAGCACGTACAGAGTCCACAACAGTGCTGCACTGCCTTGTGTTCCTTGGTCCCAGAAAAATGCGCCATTATCTCAATCTGAGGTTCTCTCACAACACAGATCCAACTAAAGTTACCCACTGACTTACATTAAATGCTTACCTTCAAATGTATATGTCCATAAATGTCACTGGATTAGTACTCCTGTGTCAGATTTTCACCCAGACATTGATTACGATTAATATTTTCAAGACTAGCACTCTTGGCTCATAATGGCATCAGTACAAAGCTTTGATTATTTACATATTATTTATAGACAATGCCTTGAAGAATTAAATGGCACGGTTTGCTGTTAAACACCTCTTCAAGCACGGTAAATACTACTCTATGCATGGGGTCTTTTTTTTTTTGCTAGTGTTTTTCAAGTTTGATGTATAAGGAAATGGGATGTAATGTGGAGAAAGTAATTCTCATATGTTTCGTTCATTGCCGTGTGACTGCTGTGAAACGTAAAGCAAGAAAAACATTCAGCGATCACCCTTTATTGTGTAGAATGGAGGGAACCTGCTCAAAGGCTTTCAGGATGAGTTTTACGGGACAATGCCACTGGCATGACTGTCTGACCTTCTCTGAGGTCATTGCACTCCCCAGACTGAAATGTCTACATATTTATAGGAAAATATACAAGATAGATTGAAAAAAGCAGAACATAAAAGCTGATGTAAAGACCTTGGAATACTAAAAACACTCGGGGCACTGAGGTCCAGCCTAGACATAAATTGTCCGTTGTGTTTCATTGCTTTCTTCCCTTAATGGAAGGTGTTGGCGTTTGGCCGAATCATCATGGTCACTTTCTTCAGGGAGTAGGCTCCGCCCCTAAACTCCGCCCAGTAGACTCCATCCTGGTAGCGGCTACGGTAGTGGCCCCCCCGATACCACACACCGTTGAGGTTGGAGTGGGCGCAGGCGTTGTACCACCAGCCTCCCTTCTGATAGTGGGCACAGTTACCTGGAGAGGAAGCGAGTGAGCATTACATCATGGTGGCCAGAGATCTGGGGTCAGCCTGACCCAAGATTCACACATTTTCTTCTCCCTCAAGCTGGTGATGAGAACATTGTAGATGCCTGTTCAGGTTCAGAACATTTCTGAGAAGACTCAATCTCAGAAAAAAAAAAAGTTTATTATTTTAATATTTTATTATATAAAGTTTAGTATTTTGAGATCCCCAAGACATAATATTATTGATAAATGCTGTAGATGTACTAAAAACAGATGTAATTGCGTGCCACGTGGTCGTACCTGTGTACACGTCATGGTCCCTGTCCAGCGTGGTGAACTGCTTGCTGTTGTGCCAGGTCAGGGAGTCTCCTGCATTGCCGTGGTAACGCCCCACCCGCAGTTTGTAAAACTCGGCCTCCGACTCGACCCGGAAGCTGGCGTACTCCGCGAACACCTTCCGGCCCGACCAGTCCTCCAACGTGACCAGAAGCTTATAGGTGCCCTGGTTCGTCAACCAGTAGATATTCTCCAGACCTAACCAGTACTCCCCGTCGATGTTCCCAAAGCCTTGCTGCAAGAACGGGACCATGAAATGGGGTTAAATTCAAGCTGGTTAGCCCCAGCACCACTGGGGCCCTGGGAGCCCAGTTTAACTGGTTATTGTATTAGCAGTTGGTATGAAGTAAGTGATGATTCAGAAAGCATCACAATGACCCTGTTAGCTTGTGGCCCCCATCATGCTGACAGCAGGGTCCTTCGGGGACCAGCCCGAGTTCAGACTCTTTACTTGTGGCCTGATTCATGCCTGCTTATGGGCTAGAAGATGGGAGATCAAGAGGAACCGAGATGGGATTAGTCATCCCATCCAAACAGCAGAGACTGAGGATGCTTCGTGTGGGCAGTGGGAACTAAGGGCAGGATTCTCTCTCAGGCATCATCTTCAGGCTTGTCTCTAATTTCGCATTAGTGATACAGTTCATTCTTAGAATCCTGGGAAGAAGCTTACACTTACCTCCTACTAAAGGGCCTTGCAGATGAATGTAGGAACATATTGACACATAGAGCAGAGGCCTGACACATGGCTGGAGTCACAAATAACCATTGAATCAGTCACAACCCCCACGCTTCAAGACGTGCAGCTGTAGACAAATTCATGGTATCCCATCAGGACTGGACTGGGATTAAATATCAGTCCTGGACTATGCAGTCCCCCATCACTTTTACCAAGTGATAAATTGTGCCAACAGCAGTGAGGGGGCCATGGTTTGGCGTCCCCCACATTCCCCTCTACATTGGCCCACCGGGAAGATGCACCGCATCTCAAACGGCAAAGTCCAGCCCTGCGTCTGGCCGCATACTAGATTTCCTTTTGGAGCTCTCAAAGTACCAGTCGTTACAGTATTTGCTGTCCCTGTCTGTTCCTGTGCTAGAGTTCCTTACCCACATGGTACGGTGCTTACTGGGGATCATTTACGGCAAGAATATCGCTTGAAATCTGACCATTCGATTTTCGTGTTACTTCTATCAAGAATATTTCTGTTCTTCTACAAGTTATTATCTGTGAGATAGATATACATTATTTGTTGACTGTATATTATGTTCATATTTTGTGAATCTTTCTTGTTTCCAAAAATCCACACACACACAGGAGAAAATATTGTTTCCAAATGTTGTTTAGTGCCCCCCACACACAATGATAAACATTGACGCAAACATGGAACCTGCAAAGCTTTTCTCTCTTTAAAGCAGCCTTTGAGAAAATATTCTTCAGGCCCCGGTGGCTTTTGCTGACAACTGAGTTACAGGACGATTTGCAGGCTTGCAAACAAATTTTATACCCCATCAATTGCCGGGGTTGCCATAGTCAGCGCAGCTAGCTGGCTAACTCTTAGCATCCCACTCTAACGCCAAGAAAATGAGCTGCAACTCATCGCTAGCTACAAGTGATAAATGACTCATATAAAAATTGAGATTTAACTGTGCAAGCCTCGTCTTGCTTCTGGCTCTTGTTAGCTACTGTAGACCCTGGAGTGAGTCAATGTCTCTGAGCATTTCTGGAAAATGTATCTGTAATTGTCCCTATTTACTGTGTTTAATTGATGTAGTGCTGTCAGAATAGGAGTCTTGCCTTTGCTGCAATTTAATATACTGAACGTTTCAAGTATTTAAGGAACCAGCACAGAGATAATTATTCCATCTTTCACCATGCAGGTATAAGAAGTAATAATTGGGGACACTTCTGAAATGCCTTACCTTGTACGTCTCCCAGTTTCTGAAGAAATTTACTGACCCGTCCTGCCTCCTCTGGATGACGGTCCAGCCGCCGGGGTCGTGTCTCTGGTCGCACCACACCTGCATGAGCTGGTTGCCGTTCTCGGGCCTCACCAGATACATGCCGCTGTCGGCGTGGCCCTCGTCCAGCGCGTGCAGGCAGTCATTAAATGGCCCTAGTTGGGAGGAAGTTGTGAGACATCAAGCTAAAGAGAAGGTGGCAGCTCTCCAGGATTCTGCATTCTGACTGTAAAAATCAAACATGTCTTTTAAACTGTAATAAAACATTTTCGGCTCAGTCCTGATGACCTATATCAGTGGAGGCTGCTCCTTTTGGAGTTCTACTGGGAAAAGCTTCCCTTTATCGTCATTCCTCAGCAAAACCTTCGTAGATAAGGCTGAGCTCGTTCCAGCGGTCCACCACAGCAGGACTATGGGAGTACTGGGGGACTGCGGTTATCCAGTTCTGCTGCCATGCAGGATTCCCATTCCACCAGCTGGAAAACTCTCAGCTTGAGGTCGGCGTTGACTTTGGCTGTGTTTCCCAAGCTGCCGCGGGAAACTGCTACAGGACTTCAGAGGCCAAGAACAACATTGGAACAGGGGCAATAGTCCCGGTGGCTGAATGAGGCCCCAGCAGGCAGAGACCAACAGGTACTCCATCCATGCTCAATAGATGTGAGAACCTCATGTTTTTCATTCTGGACAAACACAACAACTTTGTAACGTCCATCAAAGCCACCTGGAACAGAGCCTAGACCACTTGTGCAAATTTGGTTTCAACTTTATGGAACGGCATAATTGAATGCAACCCACGTTAGGTTATGATTATGATTATCTCAGAGTGCAGAAGAGCACCAAAAAACATTTCGCAAAGTATCATTTATCTTTTTTTACTCCTAGTATCTCACATTTACTTGACAGTGACCATAGTTTCTCTCTAAAATGGATCTCAGACATCATTCCCTACATCATTTATTTGTGTTAGGGACTGTACAGTAACAGTATACTTCTAGCAAAGTCATAAACACATATAAACGCTGAGGATCATGAAGTCTAGCATTTCTCTTTTTAGCCCCCAAACAGACGGACCATATCGTCAAGGTGACCTAGAGGTAGCGGAGTTCACTGAGAGGCCTCTTCGGACCCACATTCTAATAGAATCTGAGCCTATAGAAATAACTGGAAACAACTGCTTGAACAATATGTAGCTCCCGTTCATCAGTCCCCCAGGACAGAATCAGGCAGTCACACATTTCATCATAATTAGAAGATCTGCTCTCCTACTGTTTTCAAGGAATGTTGTAGAGCGCCCTCCCTCAGTAAGGAACAGTGGGGAGGGGTCTTCATGAACACAAATGCTACAGGCACTGAAATAATTAAGGATATAGCAAAGCTCAGCAGGGGCATGCTGATGCTAGCTGGCCGGGCCGGGGCTGCTCTCTACCTACACCTTACCATTAGATGTGGTTGCGCTTATATACTATTTACAAGCTTATTCTTCCTGCTGTCTTGGTCCTTGGGTCTCAGAGCGGCATCTGAGTCAAGACAGCAAGAGTCTGGAGCCAAATATATGGTGTCATGCACCATCAAGTGGTACATCCCCTTGTAAATAACCAGTGTCTTTTTTGTTTGCAAATTTCCATGCTCTACAGATCTTCAGATAAAAACAGATGTTCGGGGTAAATGCTCAGGCTCCTGCTCCCAGGTGTCAGCGGTTCGTGCACATTCCCGACATTTAACATTCCTCTGGAGGTGTATTTGCACCATTCCTCCCACACCCTCCTCCACTCATAATTCCTAGGATATTCATGCAATTTATTCATGAATTTATTCAAAAGCATCGTGCCATTTCAAGGAAGACTAAGAAAGTACTGGTTAAATTAATATTTTCAGAAGACTCCCAGGAAAGGTATATTAGCATTGAGATGAAACTGTCAGAAAATGTCAAGACATTAGCAACAATAGATGCTAAGCTTCGCTTCAATTAAAGTATGCGTGATTGACCGAATTCAGGTCTTCCTTCATATTCTGTAAAAAACAGAACCAAAAAAATCAGAATGGGAGAGATCCTAGCTTATCGCCTTTTTAATACATCCCGTCACATGTTGAAGATTAGTGTGTGCAAGGGAGGAGATCCAGCAGCCAGCTTCTATTATTCAAATATTTCATTATTGGTCCAAAGCACAGCCCAAGGTGGAGGATTTGCAGCTACGTCTATGTAAATAAAACAGCCCAGTGCAGTGCATGATATAAAACTATATATTTCTGTTTTTAATCAACTGGTGCCACAAATATGGTAACCAGTGAGCTTAAACTAGATCGAACCTGGACTGTGCAAGAAACACTGTAGGAAGTGTTTACCTATGAGCTGGGGTTAGACTGGCACAGCATAGTGGTATAATGCAGTTTAGGAAACAACTGATATGCTTGTCTCTCAACAACCTGGTAACCCTAAGATATTATTTTAAAGTCTTTTTCTTGCCTCTCTTTACTAGTTTCTTCTTTTTTAATTTATTGAATTGTGGCTCCACTGTATCTAATTTGTTTTAGATTTATAGCGCTGATTTTGCCTGGGACATCCTTCCAAAATCATCAAAAGACATGTGCCGATGGCTTGCAGGGCGGTGGGGGCAGGATTTAACATTGGCAGCGAGCCTGACAGGAGATGACAGGTAGAAGACGGCGAGATAAAGATCCTCTGCGGCCCAAGGTAACGGGAGACGGCATGTTTAAGGGAGACGCGGAGAGGAGGCGAGTGGGGAAGATAGAGAAATGAAATATGACAGGCATTGAACAAAGAGGATAGAATGAACAACAGATTCATGCAGATCGGGGGAGGGAAAGGAGACAGACTACAGAAAAAAGGACCAACAGGGGAGAAGGAAACAAAGTCAGCGGCTTTGGCAGACTGGCTGAAAGAATGGGAGTGCAAGACTGGGAGATTTCAGGTGGAAGACCAGGAAACTGGGACGTAAGTCCAGCTTGGTGAGTAAGAAGGGATGGAAAAAAATTAAAGGAAAACATGGATAAAGAGAGGAGGAAATATAGAGGATCAGGGAGGAAGAGGAAAGTGGACGGTACAAGTGCAAGATATAGTACCAAGAAATATTTCCTACAAATATGTTATCATGTACTTGGTAGCCTCTTTACAACAGTAATGTCTGATGTTTTTGTCTCATTTGTTGCTTAAATCTGCAGTAGATGTTCCAGCTCACTCTCTCTTTAGCATTGTAGAGAAGGTATGGTTCTATAGGGGGAGACCAGGTCGCTCCCAACCTGTCATGCCCCGTTTGGTACAGCCCACGAGGTTCGGTAAACACCTTCGGGTCACCTCGAAGATGTGAGCATGGCGACGAACAACGTAGGATGGCTGGAGCATCACCACAACAACAGCCCTCTGTTCTCCCCGACGTGACTCATAGGTCATGGGGCGGGGGGGGGAGTTTATGAATGGCTTTTTAAATCTGGACAAAAGGCACCTTCTGAGGCACTCATGACAGCTTCACAGCTTGAGTCACTCGGTTGCATGTGTGCCAGACGCCTTGCGCTTAAAACTGACAGACTTGTCTCTTGTCACTGCTTACATGGCAGGCACTGCCTGAGTCAACAAGGAACGTTGGAGGAGGCATTGGGTGTTGGGTAATGGGGCTCCAATAAGTGTCTGGCAGGGCTCACAGAAGGCCCTCATCTTGGAGCCAGGGGCGTATACAGGGGTGGGGTCACAGGGACACTAGCGCCAGCTGAAAGCTGATTGGATACCCATTCCCTGTTACTCACTGATTGAAAACGTATCATTGGCTAATGATAAGGCTGGCCCGAAGCATAAATTATGGCCCTAGAATCACCCCTGCGTGGAGCCAAGTCATCTAGGGATAAGAAAGGGAGCTCAGGGGGAAATCTCATCCATTCACTTATTCTTCCTGCTATTTGATGATAAATCTCTCTGCGCTAATTTAAGTGGAACACGCTTTGAAACCAGACATGTGCGTCTTGTCTTTAGGATGACTTTGATGACAGATCTGTTGGTTCGATAAATATCATTAAGGCTGTTGATAACATGAATTATATTTAAAGAGGCCCCTTTGGAAAGCCTCTGGGATCCTGTCATCCTGCGGTGCATTCCTATTTATAGAAGAGTGAGATTTCATGAGCTTCGTAGGAGTACCTGAATATAGTGGAAGCTTACTGTTTACTTGAAATGTGCACCCAGAATTCTGATTAAAGCAGCAGAGGTTCTGCTAAATGTTTAGCTACCACTGCACCTGAGATTGATTATACATTTTGCTTGCGGATCTGCACCTTCGGTTTCCATTGATGAGACTCACCTGATGGAGTGTTGCTGATGGACGGACTGTGTGTTCCATTGGGCATTGTGGGAAGCAAAGGGCCTTTGAGGTTCTGGTCACTCTGGATCTCGTTGGTGATCTGGTTGGTGATGCGGGTGTATGTCGGTGGTTGGTAAGGTTTGTTGAGAGGTGGCTGAGGTGGTGGCTGAGGCTGAGGCAGGGGTTGGGGCATAGGTAGTGGTGGAGGCCGGACCACAGGGGGCGCTCTCTGGCACTGCTCTTCCAGCCGGGCAATGGTGGCTGTCTGGTTGTTAGCCAACGCTGCTAGGTGCTGGTACTTGTGTTCCAGGTCCTTGTATCGGTTGACCAGCTGCAACATCTCAGACGTCTGGTTTAGCACACGGCTCTCGAGCTGCGAGAGCTCCAGCGCGTTGTCCCGCTTGCGGATGATCTCATGCAGCAGCTGCATGTAGAGCTGCGTGACACGCGAGTTCATGTTGCGGCTCTCCTTGCGCAGCAGCTTGACCTCGTTGACCAGGCCGCCATCGACCTCTACCAGCTGCTGCAGGGTCTCAATCTGCCGCTTCTGCTTCAGCAGCTCCCCATTCAGCAGCTCCAGCTCCTGCTTGTGGACGCGGTTCTCCAGAAGAGCGTCCGGCTCCCGCGAGTTCACACAGATGGCGCCCGTCACCTTCCGCTGCGGCACGATGAAGGTGTAGGAGCACTTGTCCGGCTGCTGGGCGTCGTCAGGGGAGCGCCCGTACCTCGTCCGCGGCGGTGGCTGCTCTGCATACAGAAAGTCTTTCTCTGGGCCTTCGTTACTGCTCTCAAACTCCTCAGCCCCTCCCGCCGTCATGCTTAGAGGCCCTGAGGCCAAAAGCAGCCCCAGAACAACTGTGAGGAGCATCACGCTACTAGTCTCTGGGCTGTGGGGGTGTTCGTGACCTTGATGTGGGTGGTCTCTGAAGACAGAGGATGCAAAGCCGGATAGGAAACGTTAGTTAGAAGGCCACGGTCATCGGAACATCATTCATCCTGGGAAAAAATTAAATTAAATACATGTCTATAACTCATGTTTTTCCACATGCAGTGTCAGAGAATTGTCAGAATTTAAGTTTGTGTGTAGCTGCATTAGCCAGAAATGCTTTCAAGTGTCTCATGAACAAGAGAGAATGTTGAACAGTGTGGCTTAATTTACATGTCTATGTGAATTATATCCAGACAGCAGACACATTCAGTCAAAGCAAACCTACACAACAGGAAGTAAGAGCACAGATCGAGGCACAGCAGAATTCACTGAACTTTGTCCATTTGGTGCATTGCACTCTGAAGGTAATAAACTATTTATGCAGACATTGTCCCTGTGATGGACTGGCATCCCATCCAGGGTGTCCCCTACTTTGTGCCCTGTACTGCCTGGGATAGACTCCAGACTAGCTCCATAAACATTAACCAGTTAATTTAGACAGATGGACGAACGTCGCGCTTGAGATTCTCAGACTTGTTTTTGATGTTACTTTCATCATGAAAACAAAGGCTGCAAATCAGTGAAAAACGTATCTGTGCACCATGTTCTTGGTTTCAGCTTTGGATTAAGCAATAATCCATAATTTAGTTTTATGTAATATTAAAAAAAGAACAGACCCTCCGCAAAAGAAATTAAAGTCACTTGCACAGTGGAACTCTGGACAGGCGCCATTGAATAAACCCTCAATCTATTTTTATACCATAAAAGCACAAAGCTTTAAGCTCAGCAGCATGTTGGGAAATGTAAATGGACATCTCTCGGAGCAGGGGGGAGCAGGGGGGAGCCTGAGAGAGCGGGACGCAGAAGTGTCAGAAAGAATATTATGTTTAAAATTTCACCCCATGTACCAGTGTGTGAATCCCCAAATATAAGATGTTTTTCTCATAAAAAGGCAGGAATTTGATAGCACTAAAAAATGTTGCCTCTCTTCTTGGAATGCAGAAATAAGCAGGTATATAAATGTTCATAAACTATCTGTTTGTAGGATTGTAAATCTGTGTCTTTTAGCTATTAAAAATGAAAGGTTACCAGTGTTATTTAATTTCATCTTCTTGCGGTTGCTGTAAATACAGATAGCGGAAAGTCCAGATTGGACAGGCATGACCGCCTGACCACTGATTGCTTTTTATTTTGTTGTGTTGTGTTGTTTATGACTGGGATAGTGCTCTCTCTCTCTCTCTCTCTCTCCCCCCCCCCCAATAGTCAGGCCGTCTTTTATGGGGAAGTTCCTGTAAACAGCACAGCTGGCAGCGGAACGGTGGACGGCAGCTTCTGAGGTTCCGCTTCTACTGGGTCCACAAAACAATCCTTCCATGCGCCAAAACGCACGCCCATGTAAGAGACTCGTGTCGCTGGCACCGACAAGCAGCTTTGCAGCCAGCTAGACAGCGAGACCCCTAAAAATAACCCCTGGGGCAGATGGGAGTGCTGTCGTGACACCTAGAGGAATTTTCCATGCGAAATGGCTGAGAGTTGCCCATCCTGTTGGAACAGGTGTGAGATATCGCCATGTCGCTCCCCAGAGCTCGACCCCCCCCCCCTTCTTCTAATGGAAAATTTTTTTTCCTCTCTTTACCCTGATTTTGAAGATTCGAGAAAAAGTCAGTGGATATCCTTCACCACCTCATCGACGGATTCACCCCCCCCCCCCACTGTGCTTAAACCACAGAAAATCCAATTGCATTATATGACAGCATCCTGAACAGCCTTCCTCAACCACATAGGTTGGCCTGTCTGACCACAACAGTGACTGAATAATGACTGCCAAGCCCCCCCACCCCACCCCCCACACCAAATGGCCCAAATCAATTCCCAAATGAATGATTACAGTGCTCACAGCACAGTGATGTTGCTTTAATTATTTGTATAATTGAGGCAGATGCCATGCAGGTGGACAGAGCAGTGGGTATAAAGACTGACAGGAAATGGTCAGCTAACACTTCCATGCCATGTGACTGTTCCATGTGTGTCCTGAATTTTCTATTGTCATTCCAAGCCTCTCTCATTCCCCTCTGGATACATGCACTCCTGTGTTTGGAATGAGATGGTGGGGGACATAAGTGAGGCCATAATTCATACAGAGGGGGACCAACCTTATCATTAGCCAATGATATGTTTTGAATCTGTGAGTGACAGTTGAGGGGGCACACTGGGAGCCAATCAGCTTTCAGCTGTGACCAGTGCCCCTGTGGTCCCGCCCCTGTATCTGCTCTGTTACATGGACTTCCTGTAAGCTTTCTGGATCCACTGTACTGAAAGCAGAAGGCTTATGTACCGTTCACATAGTGGCCTGTATTAGCTGGGGTACGATCCAAGTGTCGAAAGAAATAAAAGTTTTTAATAAATATTCCAATGCCATTAAGTCATAAGCCTTTTTATGATTTACTTGATTGCGATACTTGACGATTTTTATTCTCCGGCTCTGGAGGATACAGATGTTCTGCGTTTGTGGCCCCAGTCTCCTCATGCGAAATGTTCTCGTGCCGTTGCTGGATGCGGTGAATGTGATGACATTAGAAGAACAAACGATTTTTAATCAAGGGGCTCGTGCCCTTTCCGCTTGACCCATCAATATCTGTCAAGTGGAATATTAGCAGCTGTTCCATTAATCTAATTCTAACTTAAAACATCTGAGTAGAGATAAAGTAATACCCATTTTAAGAAATGAATCAAACGGCACCACCACCAAAATGCAGTGCATTCCCGGGACGACTCTGGGAAGGATCCATTTTCACAGCGAAAATACCATTTCAGAATCACAAGAAAAGGTCTAAAATTACACAGGTAGTCGGAAGATGTCATGTTTTGTACATGTTTCAATGAAATTTAACGCCTTAAGACATGGGAATGTAGATGAGAGGGATGTTCCAAGGCGGGGAGGGGGGGAGCTGGAGCCAGAGATCTTTCACAACGTGAGCGAGCAGCGTGTGGATACTGCTGTTGTGCAACGTTTGGAGGAAGATGTCATTTGTTTGCTATCTCCGCTCATGGACATCCTTGCCTCAAAGGGATTACGCCGAAGATTTGCTGGATGTTTCAACAACGTCGGACAGCAACACCAGTTGCACCTCTTCGTCTTCTGGATGGAACGCCCCCTCACAAGTCTCTGTCTCCAGATAAGTGTGTTTCCAGGGGAGTGAGAGAGGGGTCCCAAATTGTGCAAGAAATGCATTCAGCAGGAAAGGGTTCTGGAAGCCTTCAGTCAAGTGATTAAAGTTAATATAGATTTTTATATTTTAGATGATATATAAACTGAGGTTAATCACCCTCTTCATCTGGTACACAATCAGCACTTGGTGTGAAATCCCCAAATTCCCCTCTCTTGCTCACTTCAACTCCTTTTCCCAATCTACTTTGACGTACAAGGGTGTTTATAGGGGTGCGGACATTGGCCCTAGCGGAGATCACGGGACATGGGATTCAATCCCACAAACTTCCAGACACAGACATAGATGCTCAACCAACCATAGAGGGATGTACCAGCAAGGACTGCTTCTCCGTCTTGGTTAAATGATTAGATGAAATGTTCAAATTCATGCAGCTTAAAAGGGGCAGTATAGGGGCCACAGCAAGGGCCACTCAGGCAGTGAGTTGGCATCAAGGTCAAAAAGGTCACTACTCAAACAAACCTGACTATAGCCCTGATTAGTCAGCACCCCCCACCCTCCCCAGCTTCTGTCATTGATTACTCCTCTACTATGCTGTGATTTCTTTGTTACTCATTTGCTCCTCTGTTCTCAATTAACCTCCATTGCTCTCTTAATTAATCTCCCCTTCAGTTTGAGATGATCAGTTCTAATGTACTGCTCTGTTCTTCATTTTCCACTTTGAGTTGTTATGGAACCTTCCTCTGCCCTGTGTTTTCTCAGTCAGTCAGATGAATCAGATAAACGCTGTGTGTGTGTGTGTGCGTGTCTGTGTTCGGAGTGTCTCATCATTTTGGTATGACTCTGAAATGACTGGACTTTTGGCAAGACTATAACCAAAAAAAAGGACTTTGGTTTCGTTTGTCTCAGAAGGGGCTTCAGTAATGCTGTTTACAGGTTTGAATTCTAAAAATACAGCCCAGGTTTGCCAGGCAGTGACCGGACACACTGCTGTCTCTGCTAATCTCGTGCCTGGTGCCAGGAGACAATCAGCACATGTTAAATTAAAGGAATCCCCAGAAGCTCATTTTTAGCACAGGTGTGTCAAACTGCTAGAACATGCAGGAAAACTGAGTTTTAATGTCCTGCCAAATGCGTGAGAGTGTGGCGTGATTGTGGACACACTTGACAGCTAAAGATGTTTCTCAGCAGCTTAGCCTCAGTTATGTTCCAGCCTTCAGTGCAATACAAAACCACTTTTGAAGAAAAACTATTATGAAGTGAAAATGCAGTTAAGGATATTTAGTTTATTGTGAAAGATAACACTGAAATGTGCTGGTGTTCAATCTGCATCTGCTTTACAGCCTGGACCACCATGACAGAGATGCTGTCGGTCCATTAGTGTGCTGTACAAGCAGATTAGCTCATTCTCAGCATCGGGGGAGGGGGTTATGGTTCCCAACACAGCAGTCCTGCCAGCGTGTGTGTGTGTGGGTGTGTGTATGTCTGTTGATTATGTTTATATTACATTGTGGGGACCAAGTGTGTTATTTTGATGTTGTGGGGACCATGTTTCAGGTCCCCACAAAGACCTGTAAATAGTGTGTGTGTGCGCGTGCGTGCGCCAGCCACCAGGGGTGTGCCCAGGTCTATAAAATTTCCCATGTGCTCTAGCTTATGTCTCCCACTAAATCCAATTTTCCTACCAGAGGGATCAAAAACAAGTACCCAAGCACCCCCCCCCCAGCTCCTGGGGCACACCACCATTGTTCTGGTTATGACATCACACCCACACATGAGCCGGCCATGACGGGGAACTCCGCGTCTATTGAGGGGGTGGGGGCTATCAAATGCTGCTGACAGGGGCTGCATGTACGGGCTTCTCGCATGCCGATGGTAACGCACATGCTCTGTGGCAATCCTGCAATCATCAAGCACCCGAAGTCTACCCTAACTCACCCACACCACCCATTAATACCACTCTGATTCATACTGCACCTCCTCCTAACTAGTACAATGCTAAATTGCCCCATGAAGCCCCATGATCGTATCGAAGGATACGATCTCCTTCAGCAATGTCACTTAAGCCTTTGCTGCTGTCTCTGGGGGTTGACAGTGTTCGCACAATTAAATCCCTGTCAACTACGTAAATGGAGGTGACAATCATGTCCGTAGAAGAAAAGGAAGCAGGATCAGCGAGCCGACCTGAAGTGCAGCGTTTGCAAAGGGCCGCGTCTCGGCGGTATTTCATTAAAAAGCACTTTGATGCCTCTTTGGACAAATCAGGTGGAATCTGCCGTCGGCCTGGCAGCGGGTCTGCTGGGCCAGCCTGCATTTAGCAGGATCATCGCTGCAGGTTTCGTGGCTCGTCTGGAGCCTCAGAGAGTCTGAGTGAGCGGGATGCTGGGCTAGAGGAACGGGATGCTGGGCAGTCAATGTGGCAAAACCTCGAATATCAATGAGCTGTGCTGATGAGCTGTTTCTGCTGCAGTCACCATCAAATTCAGGCAGGACGCCTGATGTTTTCCAGGGCTGTAGGCTATAGCCTAGGATAGACTGGGCATTAATCTGCCCCCTGGTTCTGTCCCACCCTCATGCTCAAAGTCTTGAAAGGCTGAACCTTTCCTGCAACTGTGGTGCCTCAACCCATAAGATGAACCACACCGTCGTTATTGTGACCACCAGAGGTGGGCAATTCAGGTCCAGAGAGTAGATGCCTAGACCAAGATTTTGTTTCAACCAACCAGCTGAGTACAAATCTACCAACCAGTTGAGTATAAAAGTGTCACAGTCACAGAGGACTCAACTGTTTGGTTGAAACAAAATCTTGATCTGGACTTCTACTCTCTGGACCTGAACTACCCACCTGTGGTGACCACCTACCCCCCAGCTCTGGTCATGCCCTCCCCAGATGCTATGGGACATCTATAGTGCAGGGCTGAATGTACAGGCCTGGCAGAGACAGAGATTAACTGAAGTGTGTTCAGGGTTGTAAGGGTTAAACTGTCCACCTGTCCCTCGGGGGTTAATTGAGTCCGATTGTTTTGCTGTCAACACCTTCTAAGTGGCATTTAGAAGGAGCCTCTCCTGCCTTATTTCAGATATTTCCTCAGCTGCCTTCCCATTTAACTGCACTTAACCCGGATAACACCTTCACCCCTATAAACCACATTACTTGGTTAACAGCTGTTTAGCACCGTGGTATTCCTGCGCTCCTTGTGGCAGCGTCAGGGGAAATGGGATCGCAAGTGGAGACCCTGTCGCGAATGTGCAGACCATGAAAATGAAAATGTTTTATTTAAGTGACAGAGTGGCCCCATGTGGTGACAGCTGCCCCTGGAGGAGATAAGACCAAAACACACAGGAGGATCCTTCTCATGGGTCTGAGATCCCATTAGCCAGGTCTTCTCTGCGGTGTAGTCTAGCTACAGTATATGTGTTTAATACTGCCTGGCAAACTACTCTGGGGGTGGAGGGGTGGGGGGGTCTAGGAAAAATAGGCTGGGGGATTGTGGGGGGGTGGATGGACTCAAGGCATTCTGGGAGTCTGCTTATCCAAACATAGCAAATGGATACAAAGGTAGGATTCAGCTCTTCAGGTACACTTGGGGTTTCAGGCTGTTTCCTGACAAGTTGGAAAGAAAGTGTAAAGCTCCCTGGGGGGAGGGGGGGGTTGCTGCTCCCCATTACACTCCCCCGATTAGGCACAGGCTCCCCCCGGACGCCCCCCTGCCCCTGATGACCCCACTGCCTGCGGGGGCTATTCTTAGAGCAGCCGGAGGTAGGGGGGCTGCAGCTCCGGCAATAAGGCGGGGGGGCTGACTCTGCCAAAGCCACCCCCCCCCCCCCCCCCCCCCCCAGTTCAAGGCCAGTATCTCTTCCCAAATATGTTTTAATACAAACATCCTTGGCTGTTGTCCTGGGGGGATGTTTTGTCGCATGACATCACAGGTTATAAATTTAAGCATTTATCTCAGAATGAGGGGCGGGTGTTAAATTCATGCGAGTGTGACAGTGTGGCACCCAACCGGGGAGGGGTACTTCAGGATCCAGAGTCTGCTCCCCCACTGGTCATCCAACTCCACTGGAAGTGTCATGTCAAGGTTACAGTGGCGCTCAAAGTCCATCTGAGCAAGCCCCCTAGGCAAGCCTCATTGCTTGTGCCCCCCCCCCCCCCCCAACCCTCCCAGCAAGCTTCATCGGCAGCATACATAGTTCAAGAGAAAATGAAATCGCCTTGCTAAGTCAGCGCCCCCTTAGAAAATGACGCGCCAGGTGGCTGCCTGTGTCAATGGGCTGACTGGCTCTGCAGAACTGAACACTTTGCACCAACGGACTATGACTGAATCCCGGCTTCCTGGCTAATTGATGGGGCAGAGAAAAGCCCGAAAGACACCAGAGCAGAGAGCGCACACCTGAGCAAGAAGGAGCAGAACAACACTGCATGCAGTGACGGGGGGCGGGGCTCTTACCAGATGCCGGTCCTCACCGCTCGGCTTCCCCGTTAAACTCCTTGCCGTCCCGGCAGATGAGACGTCGCCGCCCCTGTGGTCATCACAGGTCGCACACGCCGATCCAGCAAGTCACCGGTCCCGTGCCGCCCCCGCTGACTCTCACTCTCCTGGGCCGTGCAATCCCCCGGCGTCCGTGGAAGTCAGGGGTCTGGACCCCTTGAAACACTTGGCCCCCTTCGTGGGGGGGGGGGGGGGGTAGGGGGTGGGGGGGATTTTGTGAGGAGCAGGAGTCAAACGGCTGTGGTGAAACTGAAGGCATGAAAGTCAAAAAAAAAAGTTTTCAAAAAAATAGTGGAAAAAGAAAGCTTAAAAAGTTTTTAAATCCACTGAGAAGGGCTGAGAGTTTTTAAAATAATCCGCTTCTTAAAGCCACTTCATGGCACGCAAAGTGCTTCTTTGTGAGGAGACGGATACTTCCCTGGTGGAGAGTCATCACTTCTGACTCACGGCTGCAGAAAGTCAGTCCTTTTCAGTGGTGCCTCCCCCTTTCCTCTGCTCCCTCTCCCCCCCCCTCACCCCCCCTGCTCCGGTGTTGTGGTCTGATGAAAGCGCTCAGGAACAAAGCCGCGGCGGCAGTAAGCCATGTGTTGGCACCTCCCATTTCTCCTGCGAGGGGCAGCCCCTGTCCCAAAGCCCCCAGTGTCCCGTGCAGCCTGAAACCCTCCCCAGTCCATCCCACAACACTAGCCCCCCCATCTCTCTCCATCAGACATTTGTGGCCTAACACACCAGCAGCGATTCGAGGGGGAGGTCTGCCGGATTGTGCCTCCCAGCCCCCTCTGCTCCCCATGGGGAAGGAGGGGCATGGGCGGGGGGCTCCCTACCTGTGGACCCTTTTACCCCACTCATTTCTTCCACTCTCAGTCTTTAGTTCCTTTTATTACTTTGTTTCATTATTGGCTTTTCCTGCATACAGACCCAAGTGCCACGCCAGGATTGGTTGTGTATTGCAATAATTATGCATTAATACTCTGATTACATTGACACAATAAGTTACTATTCAGAATGCTGACCCTCGGTACAACTTATAAAACGGTACAATAAGGAAATAATAAAAATATAATTGTAAAATGCCAGTTTCAATTAATTAGAATGTTGAAGTTTTGACTAATATATTTTTACCCCAGTGTGACTGAGAGTTTAAGTGTTTTAGGCTTTATTTGTGGTGCGGTGTGCTTTTTCCGTAGTCCCTGCCACTTCCTCTATTTTGAATTTTAATGAGGGTGCCGGCTGTGATGTGGCCAATCTCGGTTCCTTAGGCTGAATTAAACCGCATTTCTCGATATCTGGGATCCTTTTAGAGAGTGCCGGCTCTCAATGCGTTTTTTTTCTCTCTCCCTCAGATCCAGGAGCGGCTCCAGTACTCGCTGGAGAGCAGCAGCTTCTTGCACGGAGGAAGGAATTTCACTTGTGCATTAAAATGGGGAAAGAAAGGCGGTGAGACGCCAGGCTCTCCATCGGGGTGGCGGCTAGTTAACATACCTCTGGCTGCAGCCCTGCCTCACGCCATGTAACTCGCGAGCTGTTTGTGCGACATCGCCTTCATCTAGCGCTGTCACGCGCTTTAATATGTGCGCCAGTCTTTTAAATCACCTTCCGTTTGAAAGCTGCAGATCGAGTAAACGGAGCCGTTTTATCATGTTTAAGATGTTTCTGGTGGTGTGTAGTGTCTAAATGTATGTGTTATTTTGCGAAATGAATTCAGCCTGATCCTCTTTTGAAGACGTGCGTTTGTAAAGCGAGATTAACAACCCCGTGTATTGTTGCGGCGAATTGCATTCCTCCAGTCACCGATCGCACGAAGGTCTCTTCCTGTTAACGACTCGTTTTGCCTCCGTTCATTGATATTTTATTCAACTCCAGATGCCGAAGAGAAGCACACCCTTTTCTTACATGTTACATCTCTTGCTTCTCTGAAAAGACGCAAAGCACGACCACAGCACAAAACTTTGAACAAAACATCTCTGTTGTGGATTATGAGTCAGTGAAGCCAGAGAGGGACGAAAATTGTGTTGTGTGTGTGTGTGTGTGTGTGTTTGGGGGGGGGGGGGTAGGTTTATATTACATTGTTTTTTTTGGACGTTGTGAGGACCATTTTTCAGGTCCCCACAAAGTTACTTATGTAATGTCGTCATGTTGTGATTAGAGTTTTCCCCATAGAAATGAATGGTGTGTGTGTGTGTGTGTGTGTGAGAGAGAGAGAAAGAGAAGAGGTATAAAGGATCATTTCAAAATAGGAATGGTTCTCTCACTTTCATTTCTTTCCATCTCTCCTTCCTGTCTGTCGGCAGATTTGAGCTGTGCAGGTTTGTATGTTCAATGTGTCGTGTTCTCAATCTCTTGAAGTCTGTCAACTCATGGTTTAGGGGAAAGTGTTGCACAACAGCCTTGTACCACATGAAAAAGTTTTATTTCAGCACAAGAACTTGCTTACATTTAGTCCTGTCCAGAGCTGATAACCAGGTTGTGTTGTTTACATAGTGTATCGTGTCTCATGCTATCTGAACAGAATTCTAGTAAATTCTTCGGTTAATGTTTATTTTCTAATTTGTAGAACACAAAGAAAAAAGCAACGTGAATTTAGAGAATAACTCCCAGAGACATTGGGAGTCGCCTTATTTTGTGGAAGCTGCTAGTCATTTAGATTAGTGTTTCTCAGCCTTTTTTTTTTATCCAAGGACACCCCTGTGTCCAGGAGAACATGTTTGGGCCCCCCTACACAGGCTGTGATATTGTTTCTCTTGTATGCATTCTGCAAAGATGACAACAATTGCCTTTGTTTATTAATATGAATATTGTTATTTTGTCACACTGTTAAACAATGTAGTTTCTTTTGAACATGACTCAGACAAGCTGCTTTCAGCCACTATGTCCACAACAATGTTTGTTTCTCACTTTATAATATTGTTCTCAAAACAGAAGGTGAATGTTTATGAACAAAAAATTGAATCTAAAACCTATTTGACAGCCATTAAACATGCGCTGAATGTTTGAATAGACCCTAATTTTGAGGTATTAGCCTTCAACAAAATAAAACAAACATTGCAAGTTTTTTTTTTAACAATGTCTTAAAATGAGATGAGCCAGGTGACAGTGATTCCACACCCCGCCTCCGTCAGCTTCCCCCTGAGGCGCCGCTGTCTGCACGGTTTGATTTTAGCTGTGACTCTGGGATTATGTGTAATGTCACAACCAAAGAACACTATTCGTTTTTAATAAAAAATCTTCAGTAAAGCATTAACTTTAACGCACAATTAAAGTATGCCATCCTTTATCTTGTTTTGAAAAACTATCAATATGGGCTATCGCTCAGCCCTAGCAATGTTGTACATTTTTCTTGCTTTTCTCATAAATTGTGGTCCCCCTTTCAATCCTTCCTGAGGCCCCCTAGTGGGCCACACCCCCCCCTGCCAGTTGAGAACCACTGATTTCAATTACAGTCCACCTAATGAAAACTCAGTATTCATCTTCCAACTGCAATAGCAGTTTGTCAGGGTACCTGAAACGGTGAAGTGTGTTTGGGGGACAGACTCATAGACTCCACTGCATGCTGTGGTCCCGGCCTTCCGGGAGTGCAAACCTTCTCTCTCACGTCGCCGCCGGCGGCACACGCATCGCGTATGGCAGGGTCACGCCTGACAGGCTGCTTTATGAATATGGTGAAGCTTTGAGCGGGATAACAGAGAGAAACGGGAGCATTTGTGGCGTAGATGGTTCCTATTGGGCCCAGCATGGACCCTAACCCTGTGTATATATGGAAGGATAACCCATGTCCTGCTTTAACAACACCTCGGCTGGGGGGGGGGGGCACAGCCTCTACTGAAATGTAACAGCTTTCGTGTTTTAGTGACATTAACTGCAGCCTCATGGAAAGGGGGGGGGGGGTTATGTGGTGGTCAGCCTGTCCCTGAATCTCACCCCGCAGTGCTCATGCTGCTACGTGACTATTATGGGCTTGTCAGTAGGCGACTGGTGGAGCCAGATGCACGACAGCTTTCTGCATTTGTGTGTCCGTGTGTGGCTGGGATGGTGGGGGATGTGTGTGTGTGGGGGGGGGGGGGGGGGGTATGGTTTCAGCATATGGAGATTGCAGTCTTCTGTCTCCTGTTCTGACAGCATGTTTTCTGGACGCGCTCTGATGACTTCAGTGCATCTCATTCTGCTTATGGCGATGCCTTTATCGCGCTTCTGACTGAACTGGCGGGGCCTGTCCTGCTTTACACACAAACACCGTCTGATGGTGACTGCGGCAGAAAGAGCGAGTTGTGGCCCCTCATCTTCGGCCCTCGGCTTTACATCCACTTCCTCTGTTTAGTCTGCAGACTGACAGCGTGACTGATGAGCTGATATCTTTGGGTTAGATCTGGCCATTCTCCGGGGTGACACTCCGAAAGGTGCGTGAACAGCGCAGGCATTCCACTTTTTGTTCTCACAGCGATCATTCCTGCAGGAGAGCACTGCAGTGGCCTCTAACGGAACGCCATGTTTGGAGCTCAGCTATTGTTCCACTTTGGGAATGTTCTGTGTCCCAAGGAATAGAATGTCTGCCCCGCTCCGGGCTGCCGCTCCGTGATTGGCCGCCGCCGTGGCTGCCAGTAGGAGACAGCGGGGGAGACGTCTTGTGACTGAGGGGGCTGTAATCTGTTGGGGAAGCCTGCCAAGACCAGCAAGGAAATACTAACACTTACTCCCACACACACTGCACAAAATACAGATAATGCATAAAGATATAAGTGCACACATATACTAAGACACACTTATAGACACAGACACACAAAGGAAAGGTCTGCAGTGGACACAGTGCATCAGGGTTAGTAAACGCACACATGGATATACTGTAAGCTAATACAGACATCCATGCATAATATAAAATACACAGACAGAAGGAACGGCTTTTATAGGGGAGCTAGTCAGCCTGTGAGGGGGGGGATCTGTGATGTGAGTGACAGAGTGAAGGACCAGGACCCAGACCAGGAAAGCGGTGAAGGTGGCCAGTCACCTGAGCAGACCTGTTAGATGGTGCCCTGTCTCAACTGGAGTCCAACATGAATCTCCAACGAAGTGTAATGGGAACCATGGGGGCTTAATTAAACACCTTTGCATGTAAATGATTCAACTGTGTCTCCCCCAATATCAAACTTTCTTCTACGCTCATGTAATGGAGTCATAAGTGTAGACTGCAGTCCCTACCGGGACCAGCCGGAGGTCTGTACTGGAGTGAGAGATGAAAAGCAGGATAGATTTGTTAGCATTTTTCTCCTGTTGCTCACTTGCTGCTCTCCTTGAGACAATGTTATTCTCAAAACACTAGGATTAGCATCACAACCTAAATTATAACCACACATTTAAATTAATCATTCAGCTCTTGTTTATATGGCTGGCTGTTTTACAAGACCATTCTGGGGCTCGAACCTGTCACCTGATGGTCACACATCCAGTTTATCACCCACAAGACCTGCCAAAATGTTTATAGATTTTCTGTATTATTTTACACTGAAAGGAGACTCTGGGGACACCATGTACCCAGAACAAGAG